CCCTTTAAGATGTAATAAAATTGGGAACAGGGGCTGGAGAGATGGCTCAGTGCTTAAGAGCACTGGCTGCTCTTGCAGAGGACCCAGGTTTTATTCCCAGCACCCACATTGTAGCCAACAACCATCCATAACTACACTTCCAGGGGAACCCAGCATCCTCTCTGACCTCCACAGGCACTGCATGACATGGGTGCACTTACATACACATAGACAATATACTCATATACATAAAATAAAGATGATAAAAAAGATGTAATAATATTTTTAAGTCCCCACAAACTTATGGGAGACACTGTTAAGCTTGCCTCACCCTAAAACATCAAGAGGCAAGCCAACTTTAATCCTAATAGAGAATTTACTTAGCATTTTAGATGTAATAAAAATTTTAAATCCCCACAAACTTATGCGAGCCATTCTTAAGCTTGCCATATGCTAAGATGATAAGATGCAAGCCAGCTCTCTGCTTAGTCCTAAGATAATAATAATTTTGCTTATTGCTTAAGATGTAGAAGATTTTTTTTAAATCCCTACAATCTTTTGGGAACCCATTTAAAAATATTTTGGTTTAATCTTGGCTAATTCAAATTAAACTATTAAAACTTTTGTTTGCACAGATGTTCTTGATTCAGACTATACTGGTCAAATTCTTATTATATATTATTTTTAGCTACTCCAAGAAATTCTCGCTTTAACATAATTGATGCAATTGGTTTATTGTTCACTTTTGTGAAATCAAACATTAGTTTGTCATTGGAAACTGATGAGAAGCTAGGCATTGCTTGGTGCCTGGTCAATTAATTCTCTCTTTAAGAATTTTAGAATGGGTCTTTCTACCAAATACACCTAAACAAAAACTATTTTACCCAAAATTAACAAAAGATTAATTTCTCTTATTTAACATGACTAAACCACACCCATTCAATTTACTAGATGAGATCTTGATATTACTTATTCTCTTATATCTCTAAATAATTTCAGCTTTCTTTTACAGACTACAGAAGGATGGAAAATAATTTGCTTTATTTTTTAGGACAAACTTCCTTTTACTTCCTTCCATATAGAATTTCATTACTTCCCATACAGATATTTTCTTCCAAAAATATATATCCCATTCCTAATGCATCAAAAAAAATTTCAGATGGAGACAATAAATTATGTGGTGTTAGAATATGGCACTCTCTTGTAACCCTTGAAGCAAATACCACCCAACAGGCAGAACTTTTACCTGCTATTTCTATCTTAAGATTTACTAACCTATATGGCACTTTATCGCACTACATGTCTCAAGCTCCCACAATTGTTTCAAACCACCTTGGCTCGCTCCTCAATCTTCTTGTTGTCAATATTTACCTCCATTTAAAGCCTCTTTCATCAAATAACTCATCCTGTTTCTATTTCAAAGCATTTGATCCCATACAGAACTACCTGGCATCTACAAAAGGAAATTATCATACTAACTGCCTAATTATGTCTTTTCAGTTATCACAGGTAAAAATTTCACAAATTATGCAACTGCCAATCACTGGGCACCATCATCTTGAGAGAAGCCAAATTGCAAGTATTCATCCTAATGAACTCCGGCAAATAGAAATAACTTACATAAATTTCTTTGATCATTTTAAATTGGTTCATAAATACATTCTTTTTAAGACTTTATTTTTGCTTCTGCTGGAACACAGAAATCTCTTTAAAGTAGTTATTAACTGCTTTGTTTGTAATATGGGATCCAAAAATAAAGTTGTCTTGTTTATATATTTAAAATTTTAGCAGGGCGTGGTGGCGCATGCCTTTAATCCCAGCACTCAGGAGGCAGAGGCAGGCAGATCTCTGTGAGTTCGAGGCTAGCCTGGTCTACATAGTGAGTTCCAGGACAGCTGGGGCTACAGGGAGACCCTGTCTCAAAAAGGCAAAAAAAAAAACACTTTTATCTCTTTTTGCCAAATTTAGGAAGTTCATGACTCTCACGGCATTCTCTATATTACCCCAAGTATAAGCCACAATTATACTAACTCATGTACTATATAAAAATTAAACATATAAACAAAAAATTTAATATATTTAATATATAAACAAATGTATAAACTTTAAATCTTTTAAAAACAACTTATATTTTACATTTTTTAAATTTTTCCTCTCAATTTTCCCCAGTATCTACTGAAAAAGCATCTTTTTAAAATGTTTTATCAAAATCTTATATAAACTAAGGGCTACATCCTGTTCCTCTCATTAATCAACGGTTTCATATAAACTAAGTTAAGGGCTAAATACTATTCTCCTCATTAATCAATGGTTTTATATAAACTAAGTTAAGGGTGAAATCCTATTCCTCTCATCAGTTGCAGCTGAGGCTCTGCATCCATGCTTTCTCCTGCAGGCCTCTCTGGGTCACAGCATGACTAGTAAAGGTATATATACCAAAAGACAGCAGCCTGGCACCATAAGGACCTTTTTCTGAGTTTCAACCACAGGAATAGCTGTCCTGTTTGTGTGCCTTATCCTCCAATGCTTTCCACTGGTGCCACCTACTCCATATACCTAAGATGACACCATGTTGATTCATGCTGCTTCTCCAGCACACCACACCCTATCCAGTCCAGTATCAATGACCTCCCTCATGGACATGTTTTGGGTTCCATCCTCAGGATCACATAAACTGGGCATGGTAGTGCATGTCTGTAATCCCAGCACTCAGGAGGTGGAGGGAGGAGGATCAGGAGTCCAAGGAAAACCTCAGATACACAGCAAATTTGAGCCCAGCCTGGGTGGGATACATGAGACCAACTCAAAATAAATAAATTATTAATTAATTAAAGATTTTCTTCAAATGGCAAATGCAAAGTCATTTCTAGAACAAAATCATACTTGGGGCCTCACATTCTGACTTTGACCTTCAAAGAAAGAAAAGGGAGGAAAGTCATCATTAGCCAAAAGGAAAACACACTGGGCTACTGTATGATGGAAGGAGGTAGGTAGGCAACTGATACAAAAGCCAAGGTAAAACTTGACCTAATGCTCAGGTTCCCAGAATCAAAAGAAACCAGTCCCTCCTCCAGCATCCCTTTTCGCATAAGTCCTTCCTCAAGTAGAAACTTATGTTTATACGATTAAAAAAATAACAACGAATGAAACCCACCACAATGAGGACAAGAAAAAGCTATTCCCTGCCTGCTATTGCAAAGGAATTGACCAGTCACTCACTTTTGCATAGACACAAAGCAGGCAAGAGCATGAAAAAGGTTTCTAGTAAGAATAAGGGACCAGGGCTGGAGAGACGGCTCAGTGATTAAGAACACTGTTCTTGCAGAAGACTCAGGTTCAAATCCCAGCACCCACATGGCAGATAACAACTGTCTTTAACTCCAGTTCCAGGGGATCAGATGCCCACTTCTGACCTCAACAGGCATTTCACAACACGGGAGCACTTACACACATGCAGGCAATATACCCACACACACAAAATAAATAAAAATAATAAAATATTAAAAGCTGGGTGGCACACGCCTTTGATCCCAGCATTCAGGAGGCAGAGGCAGGCGAATCTCTGTGAGTTCAAGGCCAGCCTGGTCTACATAGTGAGTTCCAGGCCAGCTCCAAAAAAACCAAAAAAAAAAAAAAGAAGAAGAAGAAGAAGAAGAGGTGGCTCAGGTATGTATGCCTTTTGAACACTATTGGCCTAGGGCAGCTAGAGCAGGTTAAGAAGGAGGAGTCACCCCATGTGATAGCTAGGAGAGCAGATACCACTTTTTGCTGGTCAGTCCTAAGGTGGAAGGAAGAATAAAAATTAGGGAAGTTGGAACTTACTGACCAAGTTCTGAACATTTAGAGCCTGATACTACAGAGGTTGGGGTTTGGTTTCCTGGGCTGGTAACTGCTTAGGATTCTGAGTTCTATTTTTACATAAAGTCTGGCCCTTGTCCTGGTGTATATTCAGTCTCTTGGTAACAAAAATAACCCTGTATTGCTATATCTTAAGGTGGCAAGGACTTGCAGACAAAGTGAAAGTCTACCCTTGACATCAGGTCACCCAGTCAGTAATCAGCTTAAAGCCAATTAATTATGAAAGTAAAATATTGTTGCAGTAAACATAAAACTGCTCTAAAAAATAAAGACTTGTGCCAGGCGTGGTGGTGCATGCCTTTAATCCCAGCACTCAGGAGGCAGAGGCAGGCAGATCTCTGTGAGTTCGAGGCTAGCCTGGTCTACATAGTGAGTTCCAGGACAGCTGGGGCTACAGGGAGACCCTGTCTCAAAAAGACCAAATAAATAAATAAATAAATAAATAAAATTTTTAAAAAGATTTGTTAAAATCAAATTCATAAAACAAAAAAAAAACTTCTTGGTATACAAAAAAAAAAAAACCTTTACATTATAGAGTAAGGCATCCTTCAGTACATGACACTGATCCAGTGTCATAGTTGTCCAGCTCCCAGCAAATGCCCTGCCCCTTTGTCCCTTTGACTGTTGGAAGAACAAAACTGGAATCTAGGGCCAGCTCAGTGTGTGGTCTTCTCACAGAGGTGTCATGCTGTAGGGAACGCTCAGACGCAGGGAAGAGGAGGATCGTCAACAAATATAAGAGCACCGGAATATGAAGGGATTTAGAGCTAGAATCCGAGGCTTAAAGGAGGAAGTGCCCTAGGGTTTTCAGGCGCTCCGTGTATACACATCACGCATATATCCAAGCAAGTTACAGACGCTTACACAGTTTATTTTCTGGTTTTTGAGAAAGATTGAGAGGAAGCAATTAAAGAGATGTTAATTTCGAATAATAACTAGCAAGACTTGGTGGGCACTGCATGGCTAGTTTGTGCGCAGTTACAAAGACGTGCCTACCACCAGCAGGATAATCCAGTTTATCAGGGTCCCGCTTGCCCTGAGGAAGTGGAGTCGGTGGAAGAGCCTTGTTGCTCCGAGCGGACCCGGAGGGAAGTGAGGCCAGTGCTACTGGGCTGGACCACCTGGCTTTGCCCCCCCTCCCCCCCCCGCCCGCCCTCGTGCGCAGGCGCAGAACCGTTGCCTCCCAGCGGTTACCCCACCGAGCGGTTTTCAGAGCCCGCTGGGCACCGCGGCTTTGGGAACCATCGGGGCAGCTTGGCCAGCGTGACACCTCGGCTCCCTACGTCCGCAGCTCTACAGGAGCAGCCAGTCAAGGTACTGGGCCGATCTGGGAAAGAAATGCACAATTAACCAGATGTGGAGCGCGCTGCTTCGGATCTGGGGGGACAATAGGAACCCGGAGCACGCCCCTCCCGGGGGAAACTGAGGCTCTGACATGTGTGTCATTCGTGCAGGCGACCCAACACAGGATGGAGACTGCTGTTCTTGGGGGAAACCGAGGCCGAGGGGGCTGCCCTGTGGAGCAGGCGCGGGCTCTGAGTCCCGCAGATGCCCCAAGCTTTAATCCCGGCATCAGAGGGTTGGGGAGAGGGATGCTGAGCCAGGGGTCGCCTTGGCTCTTCATGCAACCGAGCTGACCCTCCCCTCCTGGGTCTCCAGAAATTCCCTGACACTCGGGCTGGATGCTGTCTCTGCTCACTCCTGGGTCTCCGGAGGAGATTCTGTGGGGCGGGTTTTCTTGGACCGGTTAGAAATGACGCTTGCTTCTTCCTGATGCCTAGGCTCTATCGACATGAGTCTAGTCCTGGTGGTTCACGGTGGAGGAGGCAGCAACATCTCCACGGACAGGAAAGAGCGGATGCGCCAGGGCATCGCCAGAGCTGCAACCGAGGGCTACAACATCCTCAAGGAGGGAGGGAGCGCAGTTGATGCTGTGGAAGGAGCGGTGGCGGTCCTGGAAAATGATCCCGAGTTCAACGCAGGTACTTTGCGCTTTGCCCAGTGAATAATGCCGCGTCGGGGCAAGCTTCCACCAAAATGAATGCTTTCTGAGGTATCTGTGAGTCTGGTTTTGCAGTGAAACTAAATATGGGGGCGAGGGGATAAAAGCAGTGCTGAATTTTCTCTTTCTACGTTGATCAAGTTGTCTTGAGAATTTTTAACTCTGTTACCTCGCCCTTGAACTTGCTCCCTAGAATTCAAATACCAAAAGTCAAGCATCCTGCCAGGCAGCCCTCTCTAGACTCAAACTCGAAATCTTCAAGCCTCAGCCTCCAGTGCTTGAGATTAGAGGCACAGAAGACTTTATCTTCTTGGGCTTTGGGGAAGACATACATACCATAAACTCTACCCATTTCAGTTTTGCAAAAATATATACATTTTGCCGGGCGTGGTGGCACACACCTGTAGTCCCAGCACTTGGGAGGCAGAGGCAGGCAGATCTCTGAGTTCAAGGCCAGCCTGGTCTACATAGTGAGTTCCAGGACAGCTGGGGCTACAGGGAGACCCTGCTTTAAAAGGACCAAAATATCTATAGATGATGATAGATGATTGATGATAGATAGATAGATAGATAGATAGATAGATAGATAGATAGATAGATAGATAGATAGATAGATAGATAGATAGATAGATAGATAGATAGATAGATAGATAGATAGATAGATAGATAGATAGATAGATAGATAGATAGATAGATAGATAGATAGATAGATAGTAGATGATTGATGATAGATAGATGATAGATAGATAGATAGATAGATAGATAGATAGATAGATGACTTTTATAGTCGGCATCACAACCAAGACTTAAAACATTTCTGCCATCCTTTGTGATATTGTGATGTGTGTCATGGTAGCACACACCTGTAATCCTAGTGCTCAGGGTGCAGAGGTAGGAGGATGGAGACAAATTTGAGGCCATGCTGGTCTGATACCAAGTCCCAGGCCACCCAACCACATATTCAGACCTTGTCATCCCACCCCAAATATGTGTGTATGTTGGGTGGGTCTCTCCTCCCTTTTCCCTCTTTTTCAGACTCAGAAATCCTAAAACCCTGTGATTACCTGAGCAACAGAGGTACTAGGAAAAGCTTTTATTATAATATTTGGTCATTGACTCCCAGGTCCTAACACAAAGTCTCTAATCCCTTGGAATTTCCGAGATGGTAGGAGCATCTTTCCACCTAAAAGGGGGATTTTTGGTGGAAGAACTTCGAAACTGGTGATCACATCCATGTGTCAAGAAGATGGCAAGCCCAACTCCACAGAGCCAACAGGCCCTGCACCCAGGACCCTTCCAGACCCTGACCCATATATTTCTTCATTTTTACTGTTCCCTGCATTATTTACCCTATCCTTTGTAAAATACACTGGTAAATATATTCGACTGCTATAAACTACTCTAGGAAATTAATCTCAAGCAGGGGCTTGTGGAAGACTGACTTGCAGTCATTTGGGCAGAAGTTATGGGTAACATACTACTTGGTATTAGCAGGTGAAATAAGGGCAATCTTGAAGGACTGAACCCTTAAGCTGTGGAATCTGACTCTACCTCCTGGTGGGTAAGAAGGTAGATAGTGTCAGAAATGAATTAAATTCTAGGACAGCCAGTTGGTGTCTGCTGGAGTTCGGATGCAGGAAGGGGGCCACACAAATAGTGTCGGAAGTGAAGTTCTGAGAACAAAGGTGTCCCTAAAAGTTACTCCGTGCCACTTTGCAGCCATTACCCCCAACATCACCTTACTAAGCATCCGCTGATCTGCTTCGGTCACAATAAATTAGTTTTCATTTTCTAAAATTTCATGTGAACTAAATCAGAGTGAATTCTTTTGTGTTTGGCCTTATCTACGATAATAATTGTAATGTGTCTACATAGACCAGGGAGTGGTGGTCTGAGCAACTTGCAAGATTTAATCCGTACTATAGTGTTATAAATTAAGCATAAATGTTATACTCACTTATCAGGGGAGAGCACTAAAGCACAGAAAGATTAATTTACTAAGAAGGCAATTGGTTCCTTTATTTTTAAAAAAGAATACCTAAGACTTTAGGATTAAGATACTTTTTAGCATTGCACCACCCACACACCATCTGTCATGGGAAAGAAGTGGAAGATATCATAACCAATTAATCATCAAGTGTTTACTGAGTATGCGTTCTATCTCCTTGACTCTGCTAAGCACTCTAATACTTAAGAAAATTTTCATCAGTCGAGCTGCCTGACTGCAGGCACTTTCATGGCCATTTCTTGAGACAGAATTTACCAGCTGGCGCCAAAGCTGTCCTTGCCAGTAGCTAAGATCTCTTGACTGGCAAACACCACCTTCGAGGCTTCTTTAGGGCTTCCCATTGTCTCTAACAGGATACAGGTTACAGGGTACAGGTTAGGAAACTGGGTACCCAGTTCTCATTTCTTTCACTGTACCCCAAGGCCTGCCGTCTGAGTGCCTCCTACTTCCAGATGTTTGCTTTTCAGCACCCTAAGGAGAAAAGCTGAAAAGCAGATGGGAGCTTCTACCCCCCCTCCCCCCGCGGTGGAGGCCGTCACAGCAGGCTATCTGCTAGCTCCCAACTATAATCCTCTAGAATACTGATTTGGGAACTTCAAACAAAAAGCTCCCGGTAGTGGTGAGTTCCATGGCCATAATTAGCACCCAAAACACTTTGTTTGAGTGTTTGGGAAAAAAATCAAGTTCCTATTCCTGTTTCATTGTGGCTTTGACTCTGTGTTTAAGGCTTGTTCCACAACACTTAGTTTATTGAAAAGTAACTTAAATTTGTTAGATACCAACGCTATAAAAATTGAACTTCTAGATTTGAGTGCTAAAATTTTTTTTAAGATTTTATTTATTATTCTTTATGTGTATGAGTGTATTTCCTGCATGCGTGTAAGTGCACCCACGTTGTGCAATGCCCACGGAGGTCAGAAAAGGGCATTGGATCCCCTGGAACTGGAGTTATGGACAGTTAGCTGCGATGTGTGTGCTGGGAATCGAACCCGAGTCCTCTGCAAGAGCAGCCAGTGCTCTTAACCACTGAGCCATCTCTCCAGCCCCATTGCTTCCAACTCTTGGGCTCAAGTGGTGCTTCCACCTGAGCCTCCTGAATAACTGGAACTAGAGGTATACACACCACCACACCCAACTTAGAAATACTTTTTAAATGTTTTATTTTTAATTATGTGTGTCTGTGTGGGGGTATGTGCATGTGAGTGTAGGTGCACACAGAGCCCAGAAAAGGGTATCAGATTCCCCTGGATCTGAAGTTACACGTAGTTGTGAACCACCTGACATGGGTGCTGAGAACCGAACTCTGGTCCTCTGGAAGAGCAGGAAGTTCCCTTAACTGCTGAGCCCTCTGCAAGCCCCTTAGAAATAATCTTTTAAGACTTATTTAGACTGGCAACCAAATAATTACCTTTTTGATATTTTTGCTTAATTTTTTCTTTTATGTGAATTTTTCTTGCATGCAGTGCCCACAGGGGCCAGAAGAGGGCATCGGATCCCCCTGAAACTGCAGTCCTAAGTGGTTTTGAATCACCTTGTGGGTCCTGGGAACCAAAACCCAATCCTCTGCAAAAGCAGCCATTCCTCTTAACCCCTGAGCCACCTCTCCAGACCCCCAAATTTTGAATTCACTGGAGTTAAGCACTATTTACATAGTACTTTATTTTCATTACAATTCAGTTTTCTAAACTGTCAGTCTTTGAGATAAAGTTGTTTTCCTTCGCTGTTTTTAATTCCTTATAATACCATAACTCCTTTTAACATTATAAGCCTTTACATCTATAAGGTAAAAATCTGCAACAAGGTCTAGGTGTTGTTCATCTTTCCTTTGTTTTGAATACTCCCAGGTGATTCTGAGGTGTAATCAAGTCTAGAATCTACTAGCATGGTGCCATACGATTTTATTAAATTAAAATTTTTTGATTATTTTTTAATCTGGTATAATACACATAAAACAAATCCCCATTTCAGTGTACAGTTCTGCCTGTGACAAACATGTAGTGTGACAACCACTGTCACAGTCAAGATATGCTGCATACTGCACATCCCTTCGAGTCTGTGCTCCATCTATAGCTCATCTATTCTCTGTGCCCATGGTTTTGCCTTCCCCAGAGCATAGCAAATGAAACTATGTGATGTGTAGTTTAGTCTGGACTCCATTTAACATACTCTGTTAGCATTTTCCATAGACATGGAAATAAGTGATTTGGCCCTATTATGGTTAAATAGTATTCTAATGTCTATCAGACTTGTCCGTCACAACTGATAACAGCTATGAGTGTGGGCCTTTAGTTACTTTCTATTGCTGACCAAAACCAACTTGGGGAGGAAAGGGATAGTTTGGCTTATTGCATGGCCCATCATTAGGGGAAGCCAAGGCAGGAACTCAGGGCAGCAACCTGGAGCACAGACCATGGAGGAACAAAGCTTATTGGCTTGCTCCTCTGGCCCATGTTCAAACTGCTTTCTTATACAATATTGGACCACCTGTTGGCGGGGTGCAGCCCACATCACTCAACAATCAAGAAAATGCCCCACAGACATAGCCACACAGGTCAATGAGATGGAGACTGTTCCTCAATTAAGGTTCACTCTAACCACGTGCGTCAAGCTGACAACTAAAGCTATCCAGCACAGGGCCAAAACAAAATTGTAAACTTACACATGATTGGACATGTCACCGCTTGTCCAGCTTGTCCAGCTTGTCCAGCTGAAGAACTTGTTCCATGTGGGTCCATTTTGAGTTAAATTACCATAAACACAAGCATAGGTTTTTGTATGAACACAAGTTTCTGTTGAATGCCCAGGAGAGGGGTTGGTGTCTCATATCACAAGTATATATTTACCTTTATTAGCAGCTCCAGACGATTTGAGCCCCTCATCCCGCACCCAGCATATGTATACAGGAATATGTGATAACTTGGTGGTCAAACATTGTCAGTGTAGCTACCTTCTTCCCATTTCCGGGAATACTC